GAGGGGCTCTACCTCCACTTAGTACTGCTGGCTTCTGTTCTTGTCCAACCGAGGTATCTCTGCTAAAGTTATCAAGTGTGCAGCCGGGGCTAATTTTTGGGACAATAAGTTGGGGAGACAGAGGGGAGACATGGGATACCCATGCCTTTCAGGAAGCACCATCACTGCCAGTGTCTTTTCCCACTTGGGCACCCCACTTCTGCATGTCCTGCCTTACCATCTGCCTCTTACCTGCTTCACTTACCTATTTGTTTTTTCAACTCTCTATCCTCGCACACAGAAAAGACATGTTCAGCAGGTCCTTGACAAGCAAAAACATATCTGCACAGGTAAGATGTACATGGACTAGTGAAGGTGATCTTCAAGGGTCAGCCTTAGGTCTCTTTTCCTCTTGTCTTACTCCCTGCTCTCTTCAGTGCCTGTCTCCCGCACCTTTCCCTTTCACAGCCAGCCATGTGCTCCCTCTTCATCCCACCCAGTAACTCTTCACTTTTTGCCTGTTCCAGTTTCATCAAAGACTCCTTCTTCTCTCTCCTTCCAGAAAGACCCTATAGCTGTGCCATCTCTTCTTGTTCTGTGGTCTGTGTTGCTCTACCTGTAGTCACTTACCATAGGTAGCTGCTTGCAGACATTTAGTTGGCAAAAAGTGAGAAAGTTGAAGAGAGAGATGTTATACAGATAGATAGTTAAGGCTGGGTCTCAGCAGTATTTTGCAGAGGCAAAAAAAGACAGGATTATCTGCACTCTAGTCATGTTCCCAGCCACTGCAGTACAAGCCCTTTGGCTTTTGACCCAGGTTATCTCTATGTCTCTCAGAAACAAAAAATCTGAGTAAAGTTAGAGCTAAACCAGCTGGGTGAGCAAAACAGGGAAAATCTGGGACAATAATAAGCACACATTCTACTCTAACCATCTGGTGGGCTCACCTCACCTTACACTGCTAACCTACCCCAAGCTGCTAGGCTGCTGCATGTAGCTACTCACAGTGGCAATCCTTCTCACAGGGACAATTTTCACAGCTCACTGCTCTCTAAAGCAACATCACAGAGCACTATGAAGTACAGTATTTGCAAATATATGCAACAACATACAAACTACTCCTTCCCCCTGCATCTCCTTCTGGTTGCAAACACCAATGCCTACAAACTACTTTCAGGTTTTTGCCCAAAAGAGTCAGAGGAGGCAATAATGTTTTGTCTTTACTGAAGGACAGGGGATTTTTACTTGTGGTTAGGCACCCATCTGAGGTACCTTGGCAACTTTCTTCATTTTCTAAGGACTCTGGGGAAAAAGAAAGAACCTTAAAGAAATCTTCAACAGTCCGTAAGCTCAACACCTGGAAGAAAAACTGAAGAACAGTTTAATAGTGCAGTTGGGATATTTTGCAATCCTCTTAGCAAATAACATTATGACAGTTTTTCTGAAGTTCATGGCAAGCTACCAGCCCAGATGCAAAATTCCCTCACTAGCTCTTAGTACAGCAGTGGCAGGAAGGGAAGGAAAGAAAATATATTGCCACAGGTGCCACCATCTGCTCCATCGTCTGAAAGGAGAACTTTGTTTTAGAGCTTCATTAGCCCATTTCATTCTCCACTTTCTGAAATCCAGTATTCGGTAATCTGCTGGACTTTGATATACTTCAGTGCCAAAGATGAGAAATGGGCAAATAAGTAACATGTGCTGAGGAAGGTTTCTGAAGGCATAAAGAGGAGGTAGGCACTAAACCCCCATGGGAGTCCTGCAGCAAAAGTACTTATTGTGAGTTTACCTTTATGTTTTCTTACCTTACATGAAACAAAGCTAGATTGGTTTGTGTCCCTGTGGTAAAACCACCTACCTGAAATATGGCCCCCTCACTACACCTTTCTAGAGGCTAAAGCTACTACTCACTGCCTGTGGTGAAACACATTGGAGTCTCATTAATTAAAGGTATGAAGTCCAGTTTGATTAAAACCTATGCTACGTAGGCAAATACAGTCCTAAATAACAAACTTAGTATGCCTGTGGATGTGGCCAAAATGAGTTACAGTGAGGCCTTCAGATGGGCAGGAGCTGAATTTACAGGTGTAGTCACCTTTACAACATCTTTCATCAATTCTCCAAGTCCCAGCAAGTTCAACTTCTGGTCAGCCTGCCAGCCCCGAAGCATCACTAATCCAGCCCAGCAATCATTCGGCTTTCTCCCTACAGCCTGCTCTGTCTGCAGTGACAAAAAACCCTCCAAGACACATCAGCAGAGTTCCTCTGAGCCAGAGGTTGCCGCTGAGGAAGGAGAACTACTCCTCAAGCTAGCACAGCTGGCACTGTACAGAGGGACATATGTTTAAAGGAAGTGCACAGTCTGTTATGCACAGATGCCATTCTACCTGCAGGCTAGAAGGTATTAGGTATTTCTGTACACTGACTGAGTGCACATTACTTTGCGGACACATTGGCATGTGCATTTATGTGGGTGGATGAGTCATGGGGATGTGCTTTTCTTTGTCCTTGGTGACTATGGGCAGTACACTAAAAGCCCATTCCTGCTTGGAGTTTAGGAGTCAGAAAAGCTGAGGAAAATAAGACAAAACAGTGACTGTCTGGTTTAGACATCACAGTAAAAAAATACAGTAAAAAAAATTGTAAAGTAATGCTAACCTGACAGAAAGAAATGCAAAAATGAAGCAAAGAGTCATCTTGTTGATTAAAAATTGCTGCCATAAAGATTAAACTGAAACCCCATAAAAGAGATCCCACTCAGTGTGTAAAAAAAGTAAACAAGTACAGAAGAGCTAGAAGTTAAGTCTGTGCATTAAACAAAGATATCAGATGCTACCAAAACACTTGAGCCAGAGAGAAGAAATCAGAATCTGGAATTCAAATTCCAAGAAGGCAGAGGATCCAGTGGTTCAGATTCAAGCTGTGGCTGACTATTTTCTCTTTTATAAAGGACCTTCATCTGCTTGTGAAGAGGAGCTTATCAGCAGTGGGCAGGATATCATAGAATCATAAAATCATTTAGGTTGGAAAAGACATTTAAGATCATTGAGTCCAGCCATAAACCCAAAGCTGCCAAGGTCCCCAGGTGCCACATATTCACATCTTTTAAATACCTCCAAGGATGGTGACTCCATCACTTCCCCTGAACTGATCTAAAGTTAATAGGAAAGTATTTACAAGACAGCACAACACCCAAAGGAAAAAAAAAAAGCATCTGCTTGAGGTCCCCTAATCAGGCGTCACATATCTACTATGCCTACCCCACTGTTGTTCTGCAGCTGATTCACCTTGTATCAAGGCTGCTAGGCTCAGTAGAAATGAACATTATAAACCTGAGTTTGTAATGTATAATATACATCTGTTTGTCAGTGCTCTCTAGACACAAAGGATATTCTCAAATACAAGTTTTGAGAATGTGTGTGGGTTTTAGTAAATTAAATATTAACACTGGCAAAATGCTGAGTTTTCCATCTTAGATGCCATATTTCTCAAGTACATAAACCAAATATATAATGAAATAAAATACCTGTCCTACAGCCGTTCTCAATTCTCCAAGGTCAATGAATTTTGACAAAATAGTCCTCAGTTTCACAGTCTTCCCTTGTCTCAGGATTAATTTGGCAAAGCTTAGCTGAATTCCCTGAGACATCTATTCATTGACATAAAAACCAAACTGTAATGGTTTGCCAGCCAAGATACTACCTTCTAAGAAACCAAGGCTCTTCTATTTAAAATCCATGTGAGACAGTAGTTGTAGGGAGATCAGTTTCATCATCTCTGTCTGTTCTCATAGCAATGGGGCACAAATCCATAGCTGGGATTTTGAACTGACTTTATAGACTATCTGAACCACAAACCCACATTGCTTTCTTCCAGGAAGGTTTGTACATGGCTATCCTCCCGTTACCCCAGAGCTGCACAGGCACATGTATCAGATGTGTCTTCACAAGTGGAATAAAGGTATCTGCAGTTCTCCCATGTCAAACTGTTTCTGTTCTATGTATGATGAATCTAGAACCATGTCAGAACTGGCAGGAAGCACAGAAGTTGCTGTCTGGCTCTTCCCTCCATCTTTAGGTCACTGGAAGCTGCACAGATCCAGCCCAAGGGCAAGATCAGGGAGGGCATCATGGAACTTCCCACTTTCCATGAGGAGGTACTATTTTTACCAGCATGACTCATGACAACAGCACCCTGCAGGCCTGAAGAGACTTCTCCTGTGCTGGCTGGACCCACTGAGATCAGACTTACCTTTCCTGAAATCAAAGAGCAAGGAGATGGGAACACAACGTGTGGTGCCCAAACGGGGTAAGAGCATTAGTCGCTGACCAAGGGTATAAGTGAAGAAGCGAGGGAAGATTTTGCACTTTCACCTCAGAGGCCTGGATGAAATCTTTTTGAAACACAGGAAAGTTTCTTTCATATCAACTCAATGTGATGCAGGGGTAACTATTTTCTTGTGGGAGGTATGTGGTGTGTTGCAGGAGGAAGTGGAAGAAGTGATGTAAAGAAACGGTTTGAAATAGAGGGGTGGCTGAAGAACCACTGGGGATATGGAATTTGAGGTGGGACCCGCCTTGTGGGAGACTCAAGCAGAGGCACTGGGGAGTTCAAAGACACACAAGTGGCTGCAGCTCCACCACAGACCACTCAGGTCTGGCCTGGCACATGCCCCCGGACAGGATGAAGCTAGACTGAATGTGACTGCATGAGGGAGCTGCCAGAGGCAAATGCGAGAAGAAAAGCATTGTGGGGCAATGGAAACAATTGAGGGGCTGCACCTTGAAGGGCAATGTTCTGTGAAAGCTGAGGGCTCCCTGGGCTCACATGAGGTTCTAATAATGTTAAGATATAAAAATAGATTTTAAAATCTGATGTTGTGTATTTATAGATTTCAGCATTTGAAAAGCCATTTCCAAGCCTCTACTTAGAAAATAAGTGAAAATAAGCAGTGTTGTTGCAAAAGAGTTTTAGAAAATATTTTGATGGCTTTAAGAACATCTTAATCAATATAGTCTGCGTTATTTTCTGGTTTCTGTCAACAATTGACTTATATTAGGGACATTTATTTATGCTAGAGATATTTATTCAGCCAGTTGATCATATCCTTTCTTCCTTCCTCAATGTAAGGTTTATCTTGAGGATTGATATCTTCTCTTTTGCGATGTACAAACCCATGCGTCTGGCCAGGGTAAATTTTAACTTCATAATCAACTTTACAGTTTTGTTTAAGCTTCTGCTCCAGTACGGCGACCTGTAACACAGAATGTTCCATGTTGGTTAAGTACGCTGTTAACATGGTATGTACTTACACTCCTTAAATTGCCCTGGTTTTTCACTTTTCTGGGAGACAGTGTGTTCTTGTCATTGTTTTCCCTTCTAATGATTTTATACCCAAATCCATTTCTGTTACTACACTTTTTTTACATAAGTAGGCTTTTTTTCTCCAGTAAAATAAGAGTATGTGACTATAAAAAACTGAAAAAGTATATGAGTTACTGCAATAATATGTGTAAAGGTAAAAACACCTATTGCTCAGTGTCATGAGAAGGTTAGCATGTAGTGATCACTGTATCAGTTACTGCTGACAGACCTGGCCAAACAAAACAGGACAAGAAACTGAATGGGTTTGAAATTGAGGGAGGAGAGGCACAGATACAGAATCAGCAGTTCAAACCAAATGGCATTCTTGGCAGGAAAAGTAAAGCCAACACCACTCAATGAAAGAGTATCTTCCTCTTTGATCCCCTTGGTAGATAATCATCTTCCTCCTGCCATTCTCCCCCTGGGCTCCTCAGGAAGGCTGTTGCCAAAAGTACCACAAAGGAGCAGCTCTGCACAACAGCCAGTGAGGAAAGGAAAAGGTTGGTCATGGGATCTTTTAAATTCTCCTACAACTAGTGATTCCAGCAGCAGAGATGGGGATTTTCTGCCAACTTTGTGCACCATCAGCATGACTAAAGAGGGTCTCCTGTCTTAAACATGACATAAGTCTTCGTTTGGATTCTTGCCCTTTTCCTCCTAGAAGCATTCATATATAAATCATCCATATTTTGCAACAGAAACAGAGAACATTTTTTAGTGTCACATTAAAACTTTCTGATTTGGGGATGAACATAAATTTGTGTAGAATTATCATAATAGTGAAAGAGGAACAAAATGCAAATTAGATTTCTAGTTTCTCTTAATTAAACATCAAATTACAAAACAAGCATGAAAAACATTAGAAGACTTTAAATATCTCTGATAGGAAATGCACCTGCTGCAATGGGATGATCTCATCCTTTTCACCAAAAATGAAGAAGGTGGGATGAAGAAAACTGGATGTGTCCGCAAAGAACTTTATCACTCCTAGGGAAGAAGGAGAGGCATATACAGTGAGTCATGCTGCTTAGAGTACTTAAATCACTACCAAAGCTCTACAGTTGAAATAAAAGACATTCTGTTCAGTAAAAGCTGATCAGTTTGTAATGGAATTAAACACGCTTTGCTTAAAAGTCACTTTTGTTGTGAGAACTTCTTGTGATTTAGGATGTCATTAAAAATAGAAAGACAGCTCTGTCTGAAAATGTCATGGGAGGATTATTACATTTTTTGTGGTTTTCCTTGCACATCTGCTTCTGACCATTGCCAGAGACAGGGTCCTGTGGAAGATGGACACTTGAGAGCTGCTGGCCTCTAGCCTGGCACGGCCATTTTTAAGATAATCGTAAATATTCATCATTCCAAATACCTGGTTAGGATTTCAGTGTACATATATTTATACTGATATAAATTCATAACAAATTGATATTGTAAGTATGGCTATTCAAATATATTTGAATTTCAGTAACAGTAAAACTAACTAGCTGCCACCCTGGCCACACTTTTCATTACTGAAATTATTAAAACAGACAAGCAAAAAATTAGCAAGTAGCATTGCTGAATTGACCCAGCTGATCAGCAAATCAGTGCAGAAAAGGAGTCCCCATAAACCTTCTAGAAAAATTCCTTTCACCTCAAACAAATATCAATTGCTCTGGATTATACATAGAATCACAGAACCATAGAACAGTTAGGGTTGGAAAGGACCTTAAGATCATCTACATCCAACCCCCCTGCCATGGGCAGGGACACCTCACACTAAACCGTAACACCTAGGGCTCTGTCCAGCCTAGCCTTTAACACTGCCAGGGACGGAGCATTCACAACCTCCCTGGGCAACCCATTCCAGTGCCTCACCACCCTAACAGGAAAGAATTTCCTCCTTATATCCAATCTAAACTTCCCCTGTTTAAGTTTGAACCGGTTACCCCTTGTTCTATCACTACAGTCCCTAATGAAGAGTCCCTCCCCAGCATCCCTATAGGCCCCTTCAGGGAGAAGTACAGAGGTTTATAACAAAAATATTAAAGGCAGCACAAATGCATTAAGAATGGAGGCATGAGAGTGCGAAAACACTGGGTTAAAAAATGGTTCATATTAGTAACGATGGACCACTGGTAGCACTGAGGAATAAGTTGCTTGTGTCATGACCTGAAAGGCTGCAGCCTGTGTAGTTCCCAGGCCCTATGTCTCATCAGTAAAAGACCCTGCACTCTAACAGAAGGACAGCAAAAAGGCTGCAGCATATCACTACTGCCTCTGTTAGCCCAACAGGGGAACAGAGTACAGACTTGTGCATCGAACAGGTTTTCGAAACAATGAGAAACAGAAGGTGGGCAGCAACCTGTCCTGACTTATGCAGACTGAGGTGGAAAAAAATGCTGTGGCAAAGATGCACTTCTTAGTAACTGCTGGCTCCTAAAAGGTATAAAAGATGTGCCCATAAACCATTTTGTTATCACCAGCCAAGAGGAACCTCAGCCATAACAAGGCCTTGGCATTTGCTGTCCCTTGTAAGCTATGTTGCACAGAAGCAATCCTAACCATGCCACTTGAATACTTAGATCTTGCTGGTTCTGATTACGTACAAAAATGTGAGTGTGCAAAATCAAACTGCTTAAAGATTTTGTGTAATAAAATTGCTTTCTTCCATGAGATGTTGCACTGAATTTTGTTACAGCAGTAGTCCTACAGAATAGTACCAGTCATGTCTGCTGAGAACAGGTATTTAAGACTCACCATAGAGGGACACCCCAGCCTGTAAATGAGGATTTTTCAGCATCAGATGTTGTACTGCTGCTCCACCCCAGCAAAACCCAATGACACCAATCTTCTTTGCACCACATTGTTCCTTTAGATACTTCAGTATGACATCAACTTCTCTGAAACATGTAAATGAAAGTGAATTAAGCCCCTAGCTCTATTCCCCTGGCCTCCAAGGTGGCTGCTATTCAGAGACTGGCTGGGCACTGGTCTGCTTATGGAAGGCAGTGACTCTCTTTGCATCACTCCTGTCTTTACTCTTTCCTTCACTCATCAAACTGTCTTCACCTCAACCCATGAGTTTTCTTCCTTTGTTCCTCTTGTTCTCTTCCCTGTTTTTTGGGGGGGGATTGGGGGTGACTGAGTGGTGGTAAAGGTGTTTAAGGTGATTTTATAAACAGCAACCCAATTAATTTCACAAAGGGCAATACTAGCCTGTTCTGGGTTCAGCAGCAGCAGCAGTCATTTTTCTCCTTATTAGTAGCTGGTGCAGTGCTGTGTTTTTGACTTTCAGCCTGGGAACAGTGCTGATAACACCGACGTTTTTAGTTGCTGCTCAGTAACGTTTAGTCTGATCAAGGACTTTCTGAGTCTCATGCTCTGCCAGGGAGGAGGGGAAGCCAGGAGGAAGCAGAGACAGGACACCTGACCCAAACTAGCCAAACAGGTATTCCATACCACAGCACGTCATGCCCAGGATGTAAACTGGGGGTAGTTACCCAGAAGGGCTGAATCACTGCTTGGTCAGGCTGGGTATCAGTCGGCGGTTGGTGAGCAGATGTATTCTCTTCCCTTGTTATTTCCCTTATCATTATTATTATTGGTGGTAGCAGCAGTGGTTTGTGTTATACCTTAGTTACTGGACTGTCCTTATCTCAACCCATGGGAGTTACATTCTTTCGATTCTCTTCCTCATCCCTCCAGGAATGGGGGGAGGAAAAGGGGGGAAGTTAGAAAGCAGCTGTGTGGTTCTGTGTTACCGGCTGGGCTTAAACCACGACACTGTCTTACAGGCTAACATGAATAGAAGTTTAAGAGACTCACAGCCAGTCAAGAATACCCCATTATCACAAATGTGACTATAAGCAAACTCTCTTATCAGGGAGACAAATATTCTATGAAATTGTGGGAGTAAATTAGGGGTTGCTGCTTCAAACTCAGCAGTAACATGCAACTGAGCTACATGTCAGATAAAACCAGGAAAAATACAGGTAGAAGAATGGGAAAGTAGTATGTGTTAAACTACCTGGGACCTGATGGGGAGCAGGACCAGTGTTCCCTAGTTAAACAGTGTTTGGTGACTATGTTTACACCCTCTCTGAAACCCCTGGAAGTTGTGCCTATCTGTGGGAACTGAATCAAACTGAAGCGGAAGGAGCGAGCCACATTTTCTGTCCTTTGCTTGTTCTTTTGAGTTGTTCATCTCACTTTCTGTACAAGTAAACAGTGAGCACTTACTATTCTTGTTCAGAGTCTTACTTCTCAACAAAAGCACCCTCTCACATAAGCATTAGCTTGACCCACAAGCTGCATGAAATTTCTGTTTGTGGACTGTATTTGACCCATTAATAATTTAGGATATAATCCTGAATCTTTACTGAGGCAGAAATTGCTACAAAGAAGCCATTCCCACTGGCTGGGAAAGGAACAGTGGTCATACTTGTCTATTTTGCTGGCATTTCGGGTTTTCAGCCAGTCATCGAAAGTTGCCCAGTCATTAGAATGTTTCCAAGCTTCTTGTCCCACAAAAAAATCTGGGCAGGTGGCTCTGAAAGAAGAATTAAAACACTTTATGACCATAAGGTAATACTGAGAAAGGATTAAAGAGAAGTCTGTGTGTACTGTACAGCAAACTCATTTTGTTGGGTATGCTTAGAATTTAACCTATATCAAAATACTACATAAGCAACCCTCATTATCTTTCTATGCATAATAAGCAGGCTTAGCATAACTTCCAGATACATTTTGTCCTGTTAACATTTATTAATTAATTTGATAAATTATTAACTGCAATTGAAAATACTCAGTGGTTTCCTACCAAAACAAAACAAACAAACACAACCTACCATTTTACCTACATGGTACATATACCATGTACATATATGGTAAATACATCTGGGCTAGAAGGAATGCTAATCCAGTAATACAGAAAAGAGGATACCCAATATGCTTTTCACATAATCGAGTAATTGTTCCTTTCTTTGGTGCAAGCTGGTACACTTCATCTTCACAGAATGTCTTTCAGCTTCTCTGGAATTTTTACCCTACGAGCAAAGTTGCACAGATGCTATGTCAGGAGGAAAGAAGCAGGCTGCTTTGTGCTCATGGAGGATGAAAGATACAGAATAGGATGTTTCTCTCTTTCATCTCTCTTCTTCTATGCTTACCTACTACCTTGTTATAGTAGGACTACTCACTAGGTTAGATTTCTTACACTGAACAAAGAAGGAACTCTTTAGAGAAACATGCAAGGGAAGCCCACGAAATTATTTGTATGGTTTATATTAAAAAAAAAAAAACAAATAAAGGAAATGGTTCAACAAACTTTCTTATTAAAAAGACAACGTGAAAACAGTAGTATTTCTTACATGTATCCATTAGTTGCTAGCATATCAGCTATGTATCTGGTGTTCGGGAGTTCCCATCCAAATATATCATGAATCACAATCACAGCCTTGTCTGTGCTGGCAGGTGGTTTGCAAACATACGCCTTGATGTGCTCGACTTGCACTTCCTCCCCACGGCCTCCATAGTCAAACTTGTCTCCAATATCACATGGGCAGGGCCTTGATTCATTAGCCATGTGTGATCCTAGGGAACAAAAACTATCCAGTTGTGAATACCACAGCACACCATACTGGAAAAGATTAAAGCACAGTGATATCATAGACTGTTGAATTTCTGAATCATTGCAGTACTACTGTGAACATGCTGATTACTGTTAGATCTAACATGCTGCATTAGTCAATAAGCCTGCTGGTTTGCTTTATTTATAAATAATAATCTTATTAGTTACTTATCAACATACGTTATGAACTCTTCAGTGGGCTACATAACCGGGTACATAACCAGGATTTCCATGCCTTACAGTAATACAGTAAAAATAAAGTTATGACCAACCAGCCAGGCAACCATCAGAGATTAATTAAATAGCAATTAAGTCAGTTCTTTCACTCTTCATCATGTGTACGTCCATGTCAGGAATGCATAACTGTCTTTCGTATAGAATGTAAAGGCTTAATACAGGACTTAGCATTTTGAAGAAAAACAAGCAAACAAACAAACAAAACCCAAACAAACAACACCCCCCCTCCAGCTACTGTGTAGAAAGACAAAAATGACACTTAACGTGATATTTTCATCCAAAGACTTAAAATAATATCCCATAGCTGACTTTTAGTGTCAAGAAATCATTTTTCTAAACCAGCTTTAGCCTCAGATATTGCAGGCTTTTGAAGAAAGATACTTAGAGAAGGCACCAAGAAAAATATACCAATGAAAGCCAGAATATAAACTCATATTTATGTAATATTAAATAACAAATGCATTCAAACTCCAAGATAGGAATAAAGAAAACTGAATATAAGGAAAAAATTCCTTAAGTTGAGCCAAATGTTTTGTCAGTGTGGTAACAATGTGGTCTGGTTAATTTTTTACAAACTGTTGCTGAAGTGAAAATAAACAAGTAACTCACAAACCTCATAAAATGCCAACAGAATCTAACACAGGTTTATGTAGCTCCTTAGTCTCAAGTTAATGATTTATGCCATCAACATTAGGTTTACCAACTGGGTGAACTGACTTCATATTGCTGCAAAATGTCCTGAATAACTTACTTGAATATGGACAGAGCAGCTTCAAATTATTAAAGAACTTGGAGAGAATTTAGATAAAGCTTTACCTAAATTCTCTAAGGATAAATTGTGTGTACTACCTAAGAAAACTTTGCTAGTACAGAAACAAGGATGCTCAAACTTGACTATGCCAAATATACTCCTGGAGAGAAATGGGAAAAAGCAGGTTACTGAACAGTCCTGAACTACTGGGATGTAAGTAGCTGTAGCACCAAAGGGAGGGCTTTAGGATCTGCACACATTTCCAGGGATCAAGATGTTCTGGATTTTCAGACTTCAAAATTCAGAATATCCCAAACAGTATTAGCAGGGATAGGCTTACAGACTTCATTTTCACAGATCAATTCTAGACGAGTTCTGTCCTATTTGAAAGCTCTGTCAACTCTGGGCACACATTTACACTAATCCTCTACTTTTAAGTCACACCCATGCATATATGGGGGTTTTCACATATTATTTTCACATATTTTCACATAATATTTTCACATATTATTATGAAAATTCACATATTCACTAGTCTCACACATAGGACTTCTAGTTTAAAATTAGTCTATCAGGAAAAAATAAATTAATAGATGAGCATATATGACAAAATACAGTTTAAATATATAACAGAAAGGTGTTGATAATTAATTTTGCATTCACAAACTATTTCCTTTTGGTTAGATTAAAACCAGATAATATAACAAAACCAGTAATTGGGTATTAAGTAAATATATATTTCAGAACAGCAGAAGCACAAACGCAGTGCCCTTACCGGTCAGTGTATCCTTAAAGGCTTCAATTGAAGCATTTCACATTATCTGACAAAACGTAAAGCAACATGTGAAACATGACGTATTAAAAGATGCAGGTGTAGTGGCTGAGTAAGAAAAACTCCAGACACAAACCTGTGAGGGGTGGTGTTTGCTTGTAATGGTTGTAAAAGCCATACAGACTTGCAAGCTTTGTAGAGCAGTTAAAATGGTTCATTATTTCTACATTTGTTGCAGTATGCATTCCATAGTTTCCTTTTCTAAGATGCCACTGACACATTCCTTAGGAATTACACCACCACCCCCCCTTACATCTGTGAAATACGAGCTCACTCCTCTAATCCACAGCCAGAGGCGAACTGATTAGCATTTGTTACAGGTTTATATACTTTCACTATTGCATTAGTCACTTCCATATTCGTAATTCCCACATGTAGGCAGGGAATATTATAACTAGCTCCAGGAACTTATTATCATAAGTCTCCTCCTCTTGGCGTCTGAGCGCTGCTCTCTGGTGATCATGGGCAGGGGTCTTGAGGATGAAATAAGCAGTCTTCCTCATGCGGGCAGGGGTCTTCAAGATGAAGTAAGCAGTCTGATAGCTACCAAAGACTGGGAACAGTGTGACCTTCCTGCAAAATCTATTGCAAGCAAAACAGGACAGGCAGACAAAGAGGATCTGAAGCTAGCAAGATGTTCGGGAGGCTCTGTCTCCAAACTAACTGATAAGTAGAAGGATGGTGTGAAATAATTCACTCATGTTTAGTGGGGCCACTAAATTCTGTCATCTCACTACAGACTTACAACACATTGTTCTTTATCTTCGACCCAAGTTAAGCTAAAAAGTACTTTAACCCTATGTTTTCCAGGCACTAGCTTTCCTCATATCTAATCCTCATGTCTAATCTTGTGTCTTTAGCGAGATTTGTTCTGTTACTGCGATCTCATACAGTTATATCCACATAGCAACACCTATGATTTGCAAAAGCCAATACATTTATGTGTTTATCACACATCCATCAAAGCTATTATTTTAGGAGGGTGCGTAAACCCACAGCCTTGTGTTGCACCACCTCCACCTGCAAGCACTTGAGCATTTATCTGAAGAACAAACAGTAACTTTGTTTTTCAGAAACTGGAACCTACAAGCAGAGAAATCACAGACACTGCTGTGTAGCACTTCACTTTTAACAGACCCTCCTGAGTCCTCCCTGTGAGAGGTTTTCCTCATCTCAGGAAGGAAAATAAAAGGTTTCTGAGCCATCATCTCAAACAATCAGGGAAGAAAGAGTCCCCTGATAGCATTTAAATGAGCATGGACTCTTTAAAAACGCACGTAGACAAAATGGAAGTCCTCCGGGAACGGTGAGTCAGGCCTCAGTACGCACTTGTTTACATTTCTCAGCACAAAAAGCTTCTTAACAAACCAAAGACCCCACACGTACCTGTAGCACAGCAAGTGTGCGAGGCAGCGGAGGCAGGTCGCAAGAGCTCAGTGCAGATGGCCACCGCTGCGCGTGATCCCGGGAGACAATGCTTATTCAGAAAACGAAAGGGGCGAGCGCAGGGATCGGGTTTCTCCAAATAAGAGTTATGTAAGGTTCCTGCCTTTATCTTTGCCTAAGGCAGAGTCACAAAGCTGAGTGCCCCTTTACCTTAACATTAAACTTTAGATATTGAATAACTTTTGTTTTGCTGTGGTTTCATGTTGCTTGATAGGAAATCCATGCAGGTTTTAGGTTTTTTTTTTTTCCTTAGAAGGCAAAAAATTCAACACACTCATGCTGTCTGTGCAGTTGGTTGCACTTTGTACTAATTCAAACAAGAGCTGCATCTGTTTTTTTTGCTTTTTGCTTAGTCACGGTATTAGTGCTACAGCACACATGGTTTCGGCATTTCTGAATGACTGTGTTCCCTAAATATACAAACTGATCATCCTCCTGCACATTAGCTACCATTAGCTAATGGAACTTCATTCATGTGGAGTTACCCAGCTTTTACTGGGGTAATTAAGTCACAATAAGCTTTCAGACCTATACAGTCTTCTCCAGGAAAAACGTGTTATCAGACCTGCAATCACTCAGGTAATAGCTGGATTAATATATTACATAGAAGGTTGGGAAAAAGCAAAAGAATTAAAATCCCATTGACAGAGATACGTTTAATTAGTACCGTTGGTTATTTTTACAAGAAGCACACCACAATGTATACTTCTCTGATAGTATCTGCAATTTGAGAGAACAGTAAAATTAAGACTTTCCTAAATTATGTTTTCTCACCATTAAATCACATGGCAGTCTTTATCAGTAGCACTGAGAAGGTGAAAAGGGACAGAGATTCTTTTTTTCTCACAACTTACAAGTACCGGCAGCAAGTGCAGATACTAGGCAGCTGGTTTCAAACTAATGAACACAAGCCTTTCTCCTCATGAGGCATAATTAAACTGTAGAAGCCACTGTCATAAGATGGTCCATCAGTGGCCATTCCACACCCCGCTCCAGTGGCCACATCCAGCTCAGGAAGGTACTCTGAAAAAGCAGCACCCCATCTGAATAATCTTAGCCACAAATTTTGAAACAAGATATGCTCACTTATGTCTTCTGTCAAAAAAAGCTTAGTCTGTCAAAATAAGCTTTACCAAACATGTACTTGTGTCCCCAAAATTTGGACTTGTGATTTATGTACTGCTTAGATGGATAATGGCCATAATAAACAAACAGATTAATTTACCACTGGATTAATTTATTTCAAGCATTAAGAAAAATCTCAAGGAAGTGGAGAATATTTCACTGCCAGGTGAAATCTGAGACTTCTTCAAAAGAACAGAATAGGAAAGTATCAATTAGAATCTACCAACAAAAAAAAAATCCATAGTATTCTGTTTGCTCATTTCTTTAATTTCTGTTTCAACAAACTCTCCCCCCAGTTTTATACAGTGTTATCAAAACCCTCCACAGTGTATTACATAAACTGCATCATAAATCAAGTTGCTTGCTCTTCTTTTAAATGTATTTATTCAGCCAGTTGATCATATCCTTTCTTCCTTCCTCAATATAAGGCTTACCTTGAGGACTGATATCTTCTCTTCCATGATGTACAAACCCATGAGTTTGTCCAGGATAAATTCTAATTTCATAATCAACTTTTCAATTTTTCTTTAGCTTCTGCTCCAGCAGGGTGACCTGTAACACAGAGCATAGTAGCAGTTATATTAATATAACTATATTCCATGCTGCCATTGTTCAACTTCCTAATTTATCATTCAGGCTGGACACTAATAACCAAGCTCCATATGGGCAAAACAAAAAGTAAAATTATACAAAGAAAATCCATCTTTGCCGTAAGGGTCTAGAAAACTTGTTAGAATCTAAAGGCAGGTCCAACAATCTGCAAAGATATGGATATAACAAAAGTATCTCCTACATGTGAAACATATGACAATGCTAAATACACTACATCTGAATAAAACCCTTCTAACAGACACCTATGGATGCAATTTGAGGTATCCAACATGGTTTATGGGTTTCTAGGACAAATGGAAAACACTGTCATACAGCAAACAATAGCTCCCCAAGTAGTCCAAAACACCAATGGGATTTTGATAAAACCTTGTTACCTGGGTTAATAGCCGTACTTCCACAAAAGAAAGAGACTTAAGGAAAGTAAGTCTAGTTTTAATTCTTTGCCTAGGCTACATTAGTCTTTCTATGTCTATCACAATTTTTCTCATTATTTTTTTACCTCCAAGCATTATTATGAGGTTGAGTTTTGACTCCAAATTCAGGATGAAAATTTAAACATGCAGAAATTAAAGAAGACAAAGGTTATTAGCATACTTGATGAAGGGGAATTAAGTCATCTTTTTCAGCAAAAATGAAAAATGTAGGGTTCAGGAGGTTGGATGCATCATCAGAATCCTTCATTAGTCCTAGAAAACATGAGAGAAAAAAAATATCTGTTCAATTGACTCTTAAGGACAAGTCTAGATTCAAACACAGCACTCAGCTTCTGCAGTGAAAAATTTCACGTCACATGCAACATGTAGCTACACATACTGCCTTTACTTTCAAGCTACTGTAAACATGGCTCCTAGAATAATGCCTTCCTTGATTAAAACTTTATTTAAACCAGTTTCTTAAGATACATACTGAATACCTGAATTAATAAGACTTGAAAGATGCTGTCTGTGCAAGCAAGCTTGAGTTCTTTCGACCTGACTAGAAAAGTCAATGCTTTAGCGAGTGGTTCAAAATTTACTTTCGGAGAACATCAGCGAAGGGCAGCTTAGCTATTCCAGGTTCTCAAGCACAGCATAAAAGGAAAGCTAGTGTTAAAATAACTAAAATCTAACTTTACAGAGTAGCTAGAGCAAAAATAACACTCTCTGCTCCTGAGTGAAGTATGCAGAGCAGTAGTAAACAGGAAAAGGGAGCTAATTGAGAAGGTGACCAAAGGACAACGTATCTGTCTGTGCAGACCTGAAATAAAGACATAGCTGCTATGACCTGTTCTGAAACTAGGAACAAATACCCTCACCACCATCTTCTTTGCACAGTATCCTTCCTACTCTGCTGAAAATATCTCTTCATCAGCTGACAGCCAAATTTGAAGAAACAATGCTAGATGAAAAACTTAAGCTACACGACACACATATGCATGTGCACCTGCTTGTATTTTATCATTGTATTTATTTATTTCACTTATTGTATTTAGCCACCATAGAGAGCTACACCAGCATTTAATTCCAGGTGTGTCAGCCTCAGGTGATGTACAGCAATACCACCCCAGTACATACAAACGACCACTAATTTCTTAGCACCACGCTGCTCCTTTAGATATTTCAGGACTGCATCAGCTTCTCTGAAACATATAAGCAAATGCAAATTAAGCATCCATAGTAAAATCAATATTCAAAACCATGAAAATACAGAAATGCATATAACTGTCCCCCATACCACGCTGCTACTATGTTTTCTTTCACATACTTTAAATAAATCATTATTTCAGACAAATATTAGGGGCTGCTAATCTGAAATTATCAGAAAGGAAAAAAAAGCAAAACAAACAAAAAAACCAACTGAATGGAATCAAATAAAACCACAACATGAATAACACACACTGAAGGAGGGGGGGGGGAAGTAAAGTAGATGATTGATTAAACAACTACCTATGAGCTCAAAAAGCTTAAAATTCTCTGAGAAGCTGGACTCATTTTTGCTTTGTGACTGTAAATAGAAAAAGTAATAAAAAGCTTTACAGAGAATTCTATTCACTAGACTCTCAAAATACTGACAGTAACTTTAATTTAGTGTCTCAGAGATTTGCTGCAGGAAAGCCAGTGTAGCAAAAACGGTAGATGTTTTCAGAATTAACAATGTATCTTGAAATACACCTTGACCGATGCTGTGTTCTGAAAAAAACATTTACCCCTGAAGCAAGTGTTACCAAGCAGAGGCAGGGAAAAGAAAGTATTGGTGAGAGAGGGGCTGCAGTTAAGTCTTTTGTATCACCTCAAGACTGTATTTTCAGCCCCAGTTTCTCACCCCCCAGGGCACTCAAGCTATATATGCCCTCAATACATCAGCTTCGCAAATACCACAGGATCTGTCAACACACAAGCACACACAGAAGCAAATTAAGTGCCAAAAGAATCTTTCTTCACTGGAGCTGATACTTGAAACATGTGAAACGTCTGTAAGAAACGTGAGGCAGTGTCCAAGCCTTCCTTCCCACTGCCCCGCAGAAGGGACATTTCCACAGTAACTGACCCCTCCGAGACAGGAGCTCTGTGGAAATGATTCAGTTATGTCTCCCATAACTTTCTCACCAAATACCTAAGCCCAGCAGCCTTCAACATAGCTACTCCCAACAATCCAAGAGAGATATCTGCTCTCCCAGGAAGTTAATTCATTTGGTCTCTGATTAGTGAGCCCTTCTCAGCACTATCTTGCCAATATCTTCCTTCTGTGTTATTCAGGCAGCAGAGCTCCTCTGCTAGTGACAGGTCTTTCCTGGCAAATGCTCAGGCAGTGTTGCACATATGAGAGGGAAACATGAGACTCCTCTTGGTGCCACCAGTGCTCACTGTGCCCTGACAACAGATGACAATACGCAAGACCAGGCTGGATGGCGCTTTGAGCAGCCTGGTCTAGTGGAAGGTGTCCCTAGTGGAAGGGGTTTCGAACTAGATGAGCTTTAAGGTCCCTTCCAATCCAAACCATTCTGTGATGATTCAGCCATCAGCTACGTGGGGCAAGTTACATCATGCTGAGGAAGTACTACAGTGCAGTCAAAACCTCATCTTCTTTCCATACGGTATCTTAAAGTATCAGTCTCAGTGAGACTCAAGAAACATGCATTCTCAATACTGTGTCAGTGGTCCCAAGCTTTTTGAGGCAGAGGAAGCAACTTGCAGTCTATGTTATCAACATTAGATAACAAAACTTTTCACTAAGCCACCACTGAGAGACTTGTCCTTGAACTCTGTTCAGGGCAAAATAAAAGGTCACCAATTCCATCCACTTCTAAGGAATCATTAAAAAATGCCACCTTCACTGACAGATTAGCTGCATCCAACCTCAA